GTACACTACACAGGCCACATAGCATTGCTTCCATCAGCCCAAACTTGGACTCCTCCCACAAAAACAGGCACTACTCTCCCATCCATGTTGTCCTATCCAAGAGACTGAATGACTCCAAGATGAGTGACTGACACAATGTGATATGAGAAACCACATTAATATCTAGAATGATAACGGGATTAGAAGAGCCCAAGAAGTTGGTGGATGGCAACATTGGGGAGATGTTAGAAGAAGCTATCCCTGGATGGCATGGATCTTTGAAGAACAGATGAAAGGCTAGAGACGGAAGAGTGGTATTCTTGAGTGGCAATAGAGTATTCAGAGAAAAACAGCTGCCCCTAGAATCTAAAGACCGTGGACCTTGGGTGGGTTGCAGCTCAGTGGCAGATTATGTACTCTGCATTTACAAGGCCCTGGGTTCCATCTCTAGCATCATGAAAAAAAAAATTTAAAGCTAATTAAACAATGATAATAGATCATGGTAAAATGAGTATTCCCACCATCAGCAGCCCCTCTATTTCCTTCTATCCCCAACCCCCACACTCTACAGAGGCTTGTAGAGGAAAGATGAAAGAAGCAAAGTTGCATTTATTCTTACAGATACATTTTAGAATTTGTCATACTGTTATGCTTACCAGTTGGGTAACTCCTCTGTCAGCTTGGGAAGCTTTGATATGGTGTTTTTTCATTTGTTCTTGTGTTTTTTATTTGTTTGTTAATTTTTTTTTTTTTTTTTTTTTAGGATTGGGGTTTTTTTTTAGGACTTGCACATGCTCTACCACTGAGCTACACTTCCAGTCCTTGTTTATGTTTATTTTGAGACAGGGTCCCACTAAGTTCTCAGGCTAGCCTTGAGCTTACAATCCTCCTGCCTCAGCCTCCCAAATAGCTGAGATTACAGGTGTGCACCACTGCACCTGGCCATTCATACATTTTTCACATCTCATTAAACTTTTTGTTTTGTTTTGTTTTGCAGTAGTGAGGATCTGAGCTACATCTCCAGCCCTTGATTTTATTTTATTTCATTTGTTTTATTTTGAGACAGAGTCTCACTGAATTATTGAGGCTACCTCAAGATTGCAATCTTCCTGCCTCAGCCTCCAGAGTCACTGGGATTACAAACATGTAATCCCAGCAGTGTGTGTGTGTGTGTGTGTGTGTGTGTGTGTGTGTTTTGCCAGGGCCTTTTGCATGCTAGATGAGCACTCTACCACTGAGCCACATCCTCAGTCTTCATTAAACTTTTGATACATTCTTCACCTGCAGCCTATAGATTATTGCTGAATTTAGTGAAGCTGTTTAGTATTTTCAAATAATTTCCTGTTAATCATTGATAAGATATAGAAAAGCTTTATAATTTCTAAATATCGACTTTATAATATCTCATTATTTTTTCAGTAGATTCCTTTGGGTTTTCAAGACAAACATATAGCTCCGCATAATTCTTTAGTAATTTCCTGCAATGATATATTTCATAATATTGAAACATTTTGCATCCTTGAAATAAATTGTATGTGGTAGAGGTATAGAAAATAATACTGGAATTTTTTTAATCTTTATTTTATTTATATGTGGTGCTGAGGGTCAAACCCAGGGCTTCACACATGGTAGATGAGTGCTCTACCTCTGAGCCACAACTCCAGCCCAATACCGGAATTTTTAAAAGCCCCTGATTTAATTCACATTTTGAAATTATTTTTTTACAAATCATTTGACACATCAAAACTGAAATAATTCTATATATTTGTCAGCTTTTGTGATTTGGTATCAAGGCAATGTTTATTTAATAAAACAATGAGGAAATATTATATTTGTTTCCTGCAAAACAGTTTTTAAAAAGAAACCAAAAGAATTAAGTATTGTTGAGCCAATCACCAAATAAGTGTGGAAGAGTCCATTTCAAATAGTATAATATGTGTATTAACCTTTGGGAGGTATTAGCTTGGCCCACAGAAATCAGAGGAGACCCCATCATTCCATCTTCCTTTCCCAGATATCAAGTTAGTGATCTCTAAAAACAGATGCTAATTATTCACATTCCCATTGAGCTCTGGAAAAATATGGACACTACTTTTGAGTGAAAGCTATGTGCTTCAGCAAATTCACTGGAGATTTGTATTTTGGAGTATCCTATTTATGAATCCAAAGATTGCTGCCTACATCTACACTAGCATTATCCAACTTTTGTAAGGAAACATGAAATTCAATCCTGAAATCGCACAAAATACTAACATAATGTTTAAACAACTGTAACTTTTTGTCTTGTAATGAATCTTTTTCTATTTTACAATTTTACATATGATTAGCATGCAGATCATCAGGCAATTGCAAAAGCCTGAACTTATGATAAAATCATACAAGCAAAATTTACCTTATTTCGGCTTCAGAACATTGGAATACTATTATTTCAAGATTGAATGTTATATTTATGCTTAAGTGTTTCCTTAAGTAAATTTCCAGAAGATTGTTCCCTAATCTTGAGTGAGCATAGACCTCTCTAAAAGGACAAAACCTTCAGGAAAACACTGGTGCCCCTCTGTAGCCTATGAAATTTGGAGTTACAGTATAACCAAATAGGGGTGGAAAGAACTGGACTTAATAGAATCCTGCAACTTTAGGATCTGGAATATTAATCAGTGGTTAACTGCAAACTGATCTCTAAATTACAATCCATAGGAATTCCTTACCACAACTTGCTGATTTCAATACCCTTCCTAACAGTCACTTGATTCAAACCTCCCATAACTATAGGAAAACTCTTCTTTTGGGGGGTTACCAAGGTGTAATTTCTTTTAAAAGACATTACTGTTAACATTTTTTATTCAAAATGCTAATAGCTTCAAAATGTTATGGTTATAAAGTATTGCATATTCATTGTGCAAAACGACCAAAAGTTATATGAACACATCTAGAAATCACCTGAAATCTCCCTTCACCAGAATTTCTGCAACTGTTCACATTTTGGTATAGCTCTTTATAGATTTTCCATTCAAAAAACTTGAAAAATGCTTTAGGTTCACTTACAATGTATTAAAAATACTTATCTACCAAATCTATATTTTATATATTTCTTTTCAAATATCTATTGGAGGGGGGCTGTTTTTATTGCATCTCTTTTTATTTTATTTTTATTAGTGCATTGTAGGTATACATAATAGTGGAATTAATTTTGACATAATCATACATATATGAAATACAATTCACTTTATTTCAGTCCCTAGTGCTTCTTCTTTCTTTTCCCTCCTCCCTCCCTCTGCTTCCCTTTCTTTGCTTTACTGGTCTTCCTTATATTTCTTTTTTAAGTTCATGCTTTATAAATACACATAAAGATGGAATCCACTGTGGTATATTTATATATGTACATAGCATAATTTTGTCAATTTCATCCATAGTTCCTCTCTTTTCCTGTCTTTCCTCCCCTCCCCTGCATTCTTCTTCCTCTACTCCACTGATCTCCCCTATATATTTGTGGGATCCACTCTGCTGCCTTTTCCCCCTTTATTTTGCTCTAGCTTCCACATGAGAGAAAATATTTAACCCTCGACTTTTAAATCCAGCTTATTTCACATAGCATGATATTCTCCTCTTCCATCCATTTACCATCAAATGTATCATTTCATTCTTCTTCATGGTTAAATAAAACTCCATTGTGTACATATACCACATTTTCTTTATCCATTTTTCTGTTGATGGACACCTGGGATGGTTCTATACCTTGGCTATTGTGAATTAGACTGCTATAAATATTGATGTGCCTGTATTACTATAGAATGCCAGTTTTAGTTCTTTTGGATAAATATGTCATTGCATTCTCTTATATGGAATAAAAATATGTACCTAAATCATTACATAAGACTCAGAAGAATTAAAAAAAAAAACTCTATGTGAGTTAATATTACTTTAATAGTCATCAATAATAGTTTATTATGTTTTACAGTTGTGTTAAAATAATGCAATTCATGATTTGCTATTATTTGTAAAGCCACCCAAAACTTCTTACCTATTTTATTTCCTTTTCTTCCTCTCTTTTTCTACTTCTACACTCCCCCCATCTCTCTTGTGGTCCCTACCTCAGGGGAGCGCCCCTGAATTTTAGTGCTAAAAACTTGAATTCTATCAGCCTAATGATTAAGGCTGACTCTTCTAGGATTCCATCAGAATAACTTTTTGTGAAAAGTACAAAAAAACATAAATACAGTCTCTTTGTTTATATGTGTGAGTGTATGTAAATATTCATAAAATACTATGAATGGAATCACGAAGAAACTGGTATTATCTGGAAAGGAAATGAATGGTGAGGAGCGGGAGCCACAAAGGGAAAAAACTTTTGATTACAATTCTTTTCATGCTTTATGAATGTTTTGTAATACAACTTGTGCAAAAATATTTAGGATCAAACTATAGCTATATATGTATCTGCAAATACACGACATTCTTAGGTTAATAAAGCATGAGCTCTTTCTCAGATTTTATGGCACACTAAGCATCCAGAGAAATGAAACCACTACCTGCCAGTGTTACTTTAGGGATCTGCAATAGAAAAATACTTTTTTTTCTCTCTGAAAATAGTTTTAGCTGCCACTCTATGGAAGGGTGCAATGACAGATTTAGAGTACCAAGTCTGAATCAGTGGCCTGGCAAAGACAGAAGAGTGTCATTTCTATTCTGGTGTTATGTTTGGTTTGTTGACCCTGCACGCACGCACGCACACACACACACACACACACAGGTGTAGTGGAGACATTATCTGTGACAGTTTCTTAGTTGCATTGGGAACAGCTGCCTGGAGGTATGAAAAATGACAAGAATTCTAATTTCAACCTTTGTCTTCTTTGAAACATAAGTTACCCTGGTTTTTGGTTATGTAAATTGTATTTGTGGCCTTCAGGCAACATCTGTGTGGCAGAAATGCAATTCTATTTTGAGAATTAGTAATATTGACATATGCAGGACCTAAATGCCCTTGATTTTTTCCTCATTTTCTTGCTCTTTATTTGCAGGTAGTGAAATCAAAGTTATCCCAAGAATTCCACTTTATTAAAATGAAAAGATCAAAGAATCATACAGTGGAAAAATATTTCAGCAATCAAAGTAAACTACAACAAGACTTTGTAACAAACCTTCAATCACCATATCATGTCAGAGGTCCAATAAATCAGGTTTGTTCTGAAATCCTTCTCAGCAGGATGTGTGCAAGTAAAAGGACCGTGCGGGCTCCCTAAAGAGTAACTGAGTTTGGAGATGGAGACAGGCTTCTCACCTGGATGATGGGCAGAGAACCAAACAACGTGCCTCACTTGTATTTCAGATCAACCACACACTCATGCACACTAGCACACACCTGCACACCAATGCATATTTTGCTTTAAAAAAAAAGAGTAATAAGTTTTTCCTATAGCTTTACAAAGTCAAGATGTGAATTTGAACAATTAGTTGGTTTTAGAGTGAATGACAAAGCTAGAAAATGATTACTTGAAATATAATCAAAATCTAGGACCACCGTGGGCCGGGTATTGCCTTTTGATCATAAACAGGAACATAGACACTTGAATTAAATGGGAAAGAGGATCAGGCTCTTCAGTATTGTGTTAAATTCTCTGCAGGTACATTGATTTTAAAATGCAAACAAGCAATTACATTCCACGTGCAAGTAGGAATTTTGTTTATGTTGTTTACCAGGAGAAAATGTGGCTTTTAGGAGGACTTAGACTTTGTGAATCTTATGCTTATGAAAAACATTTCTTCTTTAACTTTTAAAATTTTATAACTGAAAGGGAAACAACAGAAATGCTGCCCTACAAGGACTTTGAAGAGATTCTATGAGAGAAATAGGAAGTGAAATATTTTACAGTTAATACACCAATATTTAATTCTTTACTCCTTGTGTTTTTCATAAACATTCCCTCCTGTCTTGTCTGTGAACCTAGATGGGTAACTGCAGTCTAAATTGATGATTTAGATAATTTTAAAGCAAGGAACAAAATACAGTTCCTCATGTATTACTTTATTATGTTTCATGTATGATATTATGCAACAAAGCTTTTGTTTGCTGCTATTGACAGACTATGTAATTGAAGATTACAATTACATTTTACATAAATATTTTGCAAAGGATTATGTATTCTAAGTGGGTTAGCATAAAGCATTTGCACATGTCCCCAAATATTACTGTTACTAGTATCTATAGTATCATTTTTCTTGAGCAACTATATCTAATCCAATTTAGAATAGAGCATAAATTTATTTATTCAAAAAGTGGTAGCAGACATACAAAATGTACCTAATACCAGTATCCAAAATTTTCTTTTCTATATTTTTAGGCTCAGAATGGTTAATTTCCTAATTATGCAAATGCTCTTTTTTGAGATTACATTTCACCTTTATGGTGGCTTTTAAAGGATTATTTTTCTTTTGAGGAAAAAAAAAGCTGACATGCTTAATTCTATATATGGCTGAAATTACATAATTTATAAATACCTCGATTTCATTAAAATACAAAAATGAAACTATTTTGATTGAGCAATTCTTTAGTATGAATATCCACTTCCTTCAAATACTCTATTTTTATATGTATTTTTATATGAACATACACATAAATTTATATTTAACTGCCTTAAAGTATATTTAAATGCAAATATCACTTGATATAAACAATAATATAGGCATTTTACAGATGATAGATTATTTTTTAAGAAAATGGTACAGAATTAACTTAAAAATAAAAGATATTTCTGGTATCTTTATCTACATGCAAACTTCAGTTTTAGATTCTCTGAGATTTTTTTTTAAATGTTATAAAATGTTATCATTTCCTGTAGCTGCTCCATCATGTTTCAATGTATCATTGACAGTATTTCAGCTGTTTCTGCATTACACTGTGACCTGGATTGTAGTAATCATCTGGCTGAGTTAGTCTGGTGTCTGCCTCTTCACCATTGAAATAATAATGGATTTTAGAAATAATTGTAACAATACTATTAATAAATGTCTTACTAGTAATACTCTGTGTTTGGAGAGTATCTGTTCTTTTCCGTTTCACTCAAGCTATATAACCATACCAACAGTAGCTACTTGGCAGGGATATTATCATGTGGATCTAAGTAATGGAGTGTGATTAATAGGATACAGTATTTTTTCAACTTTGATAATCTCTAAGTGTACGATCAGATGAGCTCTCTGCTGTACAATAGCAAAAGCTTTTGAACATAGTTTAATGGCAATCTTTTTTTTTTTTTTTGAAGTAAGGCACTGAAATTCTAGAAAGCATTTTAACTGTGCTATTATGGTTCAGATCCAAGATGTTTCCCAAAGACTCATGTGTTGAAGGCTTAGTCCCCAATGCAGCAGTGTTCAGAGGTAAACCTTTTAAGAAGTGATTGGATCGTAAGGGCTCCAACCTCATCAATGGGTCAATCCATTAACACATTTATACCTGAATGGATTATTATTGGGAAGTGGTGAAAACGGTAGAAGGTGGGACCTATTGAAGGGAGTGGGTCCTTGGGGACATACGTTTGGGGACTATATCTTATCCCTGGTCTTTCCTTTTCTCACTTCTTTCCACTGGCCACCATGAGCAGGGTTGGTATCACACACCCCTCACCATGATATTCTGCCTTACCACAGACCAGAATCAATGGGTCTGACAATGGCTAAAACCTCTGAAATTTGGAGCCAAAGTAAATCTTTCCTCCTTGTTTTTCTTCAGTGTTTTTGTCACAGTAATTAAAAAGCTAATACATACACCTTGTTGAAGTAATAACATTTTATTTTCCTTTGGGGGAAATAAGTGTGTGTGTATGTATACCCACATATATTTGTCTATGTTTAGCAAGTTCCTAATTTGAGTGGGGGAAAAATAGGTATAAGCATTTTAAGGTATCTTTAGGTGTGAAAGTTACAGAAAGTATACTATTTTGGGTAAGAAATGATCAGTATCCAATCTAAAGAAAACAATTACAATATTGAAAGTCAGGAATAACTGCATAAACATTTCCAAGCATTACTGTTGACACTGTGTGTGAGCATATGTGCATAGGGGGTGAGAGTGGGGTTAAAGGCACATTGTACTATTTGCCAGTAGGCAAATAAGAACCCATAGACATAAAATGTAAAAGAAGGGCTTACCATCTCTTGTTTGTTTGGTTTACATTTGTATCAGTCAGTCTTTTTTTTTTTTTTTACACATTTTTTTAGTTATTGATAGACCTTTTTTTATTTATTTATATGCGGTGCTGAGAATTGAACCCAGTGCCTCACACATGTCAGGCAAGTGCACTACTACTGAGCCACAGTCCCAGCCCCTGTATCATTCAATCTTACTAATATTAATGGCCTATGTGCCTAGCAATCTTCTCTGTAGAACAGTAATTCCCACTTAGAGAGTGTTGGAAGATATCACTGGAAACAGTTGCAGTGAGGTTTATGGAGAAAAAAGAAAAACAAAGCTATTGTGCATCTGAAGTTTCTTCTTTCAAAGTGGCATTTCACTGGAAGATTCCAAAGAGAAATACAGAAATGTGTCAAAATTACATTACCAGTAAGAGTTATTTCAAAGCTGTAAGGTCAGGGTATGAAAGCAGGGGGGCAGGTATCTAATATAACAAGGTTAAGGAGCCTAAAAAGATAACCAGGGGTGGGATCTTCTTATCTCAAAGCTTCCTTCATTAGAATACATGCTGAAAAAATTATCATATCTAAAAGTTTTCTCTTGAATTTTCATCTTATAAAAGTATTTTAAAATCATTAAAAGCCATGTTCAAGACTATTATAATTAAAGTAAATAAGTGTAACTAAGTTCATATGAGCTGATAACTTCAATAACATGCATCCAAGTACAAAATATAATATAGCAGAATCTGCCATTGTGAATCAAGAAACAATTTCCGCAAATGCTAGTTTAATATTTGTTTTGTTTTATTTTGTTTTCGTAGTACTGGAGATAGAACACAGAGTGATCTACAATTGAGCCACATGCTCTGCCCCTTTTATTTTTTATTTTGAAACATGGTCTCAGTAAATTGTCCAGGCAGGCCTTGAACTTGTGATTATCCTGCCTCAGCCTCCACAGTGGGTAGGTTACAAGTATGGGTCACCACACTTGTCTTTACTTGAATTTTTTTTCTTTAATATGTACTTAAAAGTCAAAACCTTTTGATTACTCTTAGAAATGAAGGCCTATTGATAGATCATTTTGGCTGAAGGAGATGAATCAGAAGTTGTCAGAATTCCTCCCAAAACTTACTAAAGACAACAGGATACTGCAAGCACCTACAAACTAGAGTTTGTATTTGGCAAGGCTTCCAAGGTTTCATAATGTCAAAAAGCCTTTTATCATGTTTTTACTACTACAGTAACAGCTATTATCAACTTCCATATTTCTTTTTATGATTCATCCCTTCATGTAAGGACGGAAGAGCTTTTTTTTTTTCTAACTGATATAGACCATGCAGATTTCCTAAAATGATGCTTACTTGGTTTATTTTTATGTTCACTGAAATATAAAGAATTTATTTTATGACTTTACTAAATATCAGATCACTGAGCTTTAGCACATTCGATATATATAATGAACATCTTAATTCTTAGAACTCATCAAAAGTGTAATCTGTAAATCTATTTGCCATGTAAGAAAACATAATTATTTAAGACCAACTAATAGTAAAAACAAAATAGTCACATTTAGGAAAAAAAAAACACTATAAAAGGATTCCTATAGGGTGGTAATGTTTAGGTAGATTAACTTTTGAGTTTGATTTATGCTGACTAGCATTTTATTGAAAGTCTGTAGTGCTCTCTGAAAAGAACTGTTTTCATTTAGTTTTTTAAAGTCTTTTTTCCGACTCTGTATAATACATCTGGGGAAAATATTGCATTTTGGATTAGGCATTTAATATCTCTAACCAAGATATTTCCTTAGGTGATTTATGTGTAACATCATATTATTCTTTTTATTACAGGAAATTAAAATATATACTTTTGGTTACATGAAAAAGCAATTTATATGAAATCCATGAAAATATGTAGACATACTTAAAGAGTAAAGCAATTACAATTGATTACTGACATATCAGAATAAAGAGTTAACATGGTTTCATAAATATAAAATATATTCAATTGATTCTCAACTATAGAGTGAATTTTTTTATTTTATGGTTAGAGAAATGCATCAATTTGATTCAGCTTTTAATGCTCAGCTAAATTATTTAATGGTTATGAAATA